AGTTGCATAGATTCATATAAGGAGATTAGGAGAGCACAAAAGTCAACACTGTCAGCTAAATCAACAAAAAGAGCAGTCTGTTTAATGAAATGTTGGAATTTTTTTTTAAAAGTTGGAAGATCTAAATAACTATATAGAAAAAGTACTAGCGAAATCTAATGAAAATAAATTTAACATGCTTGAGTAGAAAATTTGTTTTTCTATGGTATTTTTCTTATTGTAAAGTGATGTAGGGAGACTTGAATGCTTTTTTTTTTTTTTAAATAAAGCCACTTCAGTAGAAAGCAGAACTGAATATTAGTTTCTTAGTTTCTTCATCATCAGTGACTTTTTTATAAAGAAGAAAAAGAAAGAGAAGAAAAAAGTGAAATGTAATGGGAAAGAGTGAAAGAGAGATTAGAAGATGTGTGAAATATATAAACACAAGACAATGCACCCGATGTCGGGAGACTTGCATGCTAACAGCAGCTAGATAATTAGCTGAGTTGCCTGCTTCTGTACTGAGCCTGCTGTATGGTTAATTCAAATATTCTATATGTTGTAGCTTTTTCTCAAATGTTTGTTATAGCAGAAATCATATAAATGCCTGTCTCCGTGTGCACGTCCCTACCATTTACTTGCAAGACAAAAGCTCACAAATTATACAATTAGCCACACATTGCATCACAGTAAAAGCYCATAAGATTTATATCACAAATTATTATCATACATTATACATACTGTGTATCACATTACAAATGTAACCATAAAAACAGTTACGTAGTAACTGCTTTATCTTGCTCTAGTGAATAAAAATATTGGTAAAAAAAAAAACCGTGTAAGCTTTGGTGTTTTYAAAATCTAAAAATTGTAAGCTTTTGTCCCTTTGTTCATAAAGGCTGAGCTTTTGTCCGCACATGGTCTGTGTGTTGACATGTCTGTCTGTTAGCAAAATATCCCATGAACATTTTGACGTATTTTAATGAACCTCTCAGAATGTAATCATTTAATGTATAACAGGGGGTGTCAAACTCCAGTCCTCGAGGGCCGCTATCCTGCATGTTTTAGAGGTTTTCCAGCTCCAACACACCTGATTCAGTGATTGAATTAACTCTTCAAATTGGGCAGAAGCCTGTTAATTACCCAGCGATCAAAATCTGGTGTGTTGGAGCAAGAAAACCTCTAAAACATGCAGGATAGCGGCCCTCGAGGACAGGAGTTTGACACCCCTGAAATAACTTTAGCTGATTACCTGTTGGAGTAAAACCAATTCAAGGTGGTCTCCCCATCTACAGTGTGGCCTTGGAAAACACAAAAATGCTACAAGTCGATCACTTTTACAGATTTTGAGCTAAAATTTGGTGAGGTAGAAGCTGAGCCACAATACTAACAATCACACAAGCATACAGTATTTGTTTGAAAGTTTGCCATGCAAGGTGGTAGAAAATATGCATTTCTTTAAGAAATGCTACTTTCATCTTTGAGTAGCTTTACCTTAAACAGATTTTGTGTGTTTCCACTAGATGAAGAATTTCRAAACAGCTGAGTTTAGCTGTTATTTATTAAGACAAAGTTTAGGAACTTTCCGCTCTTTCCTCCATCAGACACAGCTGACTGACAGCTCAACAAACCAGAAAAGGAGTGTTCTTCTCTCATCCATATTTTGGTCCTTGAGGGCTGCTATTCTGCAAGTCTTACTAGTTTGCCTGCTCGAACACACCTAATTCAGTGTTTAAATTGCCTCTTCAAGTTCTGTTGAAGCCGTTTAAACCCCCCATTCATTTAAATCAGATGGATTGGAGCAGAGAAACCTTTAAAACATGTAAGATAGTGGCTCCCAAAAAACCACATTCAGACACTCCTGCTTGATAAGCTCTAAATGACTGGATACAGRGGTACTGTATGATACTTCAATAAAAACACTTTGAACCCTATAAACAGTATATGTGCAAATATTTTTAAACCATGTCTTTTAAAACTAGGTGTACTTCAAAACAGGAAGCTGTCCTCCTGCTTATATTTAGCATTTTTTCACTTGACTAAACAGAGACTTGGCATACATATTTCCACTCTTGA